AGCGACGCCGACCGTCTTTGTCTGTTCATCAATGGATGGAAGCGATGGGAAGCCCTAAGAAAGTCTACAATTGGCATCGTCGGGAGATTGACTGAGCGAGAATACGGTATGCATGAACAGAGGTTTTTCGAAATCACGGTCTTTTACCCACAGAAAACAGGGTTTTTCAAAAACCAGGCGTGGTTTCACTTACCTACAACTTTTGTGGAGAAAGGGCCAAAATTAAAAAGATTAATTGGGTAGGCCGTTAGCGGGGTGATCACTTGCTTCTTTTTTTCTTGTCTCGCTTCCTGTACTCTTACTGAAAAATCGTAGACCATTTTATACGCGATTTAGCTGTTCACAGGTGAATCGCCAGCGGCTTCCCGCATGGACCAAGCAGGGTTCTAGCCTCCAGCAGTCAGTCAGCTCCGACCGAGGAATTGGAAGGCTTGTTTGACGTCGACGCGTGTGCCGATCGAGGGTTTGATTTCCCAGATCATTGATTTGTAGGGCATTCGTTACTTTCAACTACACCAGGTTCTGTCCAGTTGTCAAAGTGTTTACTATCAATGATCGGAATGACTTATTTAGATGCACATGTTAAGAAAATATGCTTCAGGAAATATTGTTTTTGGTCTTCCGATAAAGGGGTTTTGATTTTTGGACAGCAAGTTGAGACGACGCTGTGGTGGCAATTGACACCATTTAACAAGCCCATAGCTTAGGTTCTTCCTAGTCCACTCTCACCAGTTCACTGTTCGGTCAAATCGCACTCAGATGCCGCTACGATTCCGAGTAGAAAGTGAGCTCATGGCGCATCCCAGAAATGACTGAAAGCGTCGAGTGAGCTATCGGTCATATTTTACGAGCTTTGTGCTTTCATAACACAATAAGAGTTCAAAGGGTGTCGTATATCGTCGTTATTCCTAAAGCGTTGGCTGGTGATGTGTGATGCTTTCATTAAGTCGTAAAAGTGTGCCAGTGTACCATATGTGGTGTTGTAAAGCGGCAGCTGGCCCCGAGTCCAAAGCAAGGGGCGCCTTGCGGCTCGATTGCGCTTCAACTTCGTCACCAGGCGACTCTCACGCCATCGTTTGAAATGGCCAAGCCCATAGACAAAGAAAACCCCCGGAGGTCGGGGAGTACCGAGGAGCGCTTGATAAACTTGCCCATATTTAACATGGTTTAAAGATACTCAGGTAAATGCTCTCTTTAGAACCCGACCAGATTTTGCTTTAGAAATTGGGACTTTTTTTGGTACAAAGCTCTCTTCGCTGTTGCAGTTTCTCTCTTTAAATAACATTTTTGGCAAGTACAGACGAGCCATCTCATTAATGTGTTGCTAGGAAACACTAAGACGGTTTTTTCAAACTCGGGAAGGGGAACGAAACACGGTGGCTGGGAAGTGGAGAGGTTTTGATGACTTCATCTGATGTCACTGGTGGGTGCCTGTCAGTGCTCGTGGGCGTGGCTTGCTTCAACTACCAACGCCTTTTCACCATTGGCACTCGATGACGTCATCAGAACCGCTCCGCCCTATCCAGCATAGCGCTATGGCGATCCGAGTTTGTTGCCACAGTCCAAGCCAAGCCTTTCCGCTTTCTGGAATCGGTTTGAATGAATGACTAAAATACGTACGGTTGTGTTCACTACAGGGATCAGTCAAATGCTGGGTTGCTCTTACAAGTTAGCACGGGCTCGTGTGCTGTCGTGCTGCCATCTTACAATTGTAGCATACGTAGCGTCTGTGTCCTCTCGCTACGTGTGCTCTCTCGCGTTTTCCTCTCTCCATGCAGCGCTGTGTCTCTTCGTCAAACCACAGCTGACCTCACGAGAGAAACTCCAGTAGTTTCTGTAAAGCTTCTTGCTTTTCTGCCCACTGGCGTTCCTCGTCGCACTTATTGTCCAGTTTTTGAAGAAAATAACCACCAATTTCATCTCGACCCGTGCCTTTAGTTACATCATAACAATGGGCTGGATTTAGTATTTTTACCCTTCTTATGAAAACGTCTTGTCATTTTTTTTCAGGACCAAACAGCAGTCTAAAAATATCACCGATATCTCGAAAACGTCCACACTTGCTGACGGCAACGAGCACAACAAAACTCTTGATTTTTTTTTTTTCTTTTTTTTTCAATCACCTGATCAAACAGAGCTCCATTTTAGCCTTCTACACGCGAGATTGCCCCCCCCCCCCTTCAATCTCTGATTATCTCAAAAGTACAGCGGTACCTTTAGGCGCCCATCAATCATTATGCAGCTCATTCTTATTTTTCTGGAAACATCGGGCGAGCCTGTCTGGGTCCTCCTGCGCTGTTGCCGGCAGTTTTCAATTTATAGCGACACGACGTGAATCTGCACTCCATAGAGGGTGTTGTAATGAAACGGCTGGCACTTGGCAGCCGATGGTGTTGGTGGTTGAGGAGGAGGTGCAGGACGAGGTGGAGAAGCGAAACGACGATTCCTTATTACGAACGAGTGCAATGACTCGACTGGAAATGTTACACTAGGATTTCAGTCGAAATTCGCACTATGGAAACATCGCAAGGGCACCGCTCAGAAAAGGGGAACGTCTGCTGTTGACAATGATTTCGACAGGGTTTCTTCAGGTTTGGACCTATGCTGCTGCGAATAAAGTAATAATTAGCCTTAGAAGCGGATCGAGGTGGGAGTTGAGCTTCGAAGGGCACTATTATCTTTGGATGAATCATGGGATGAATGTCCGCGCCTGGTCAGCAAAATTTTTAGGTGCTTGATTTTCGCTATGTAGGTGAGAACACAGGCTGGATTATTCAGTTATTGGTCGCTCCGCTGACGCGCGAAATCAAGGTCATGTCACAGTTACCACAAAAGGTATCTCTTTTGGGTTCAGCAGCCAAGACCCTTATGGCACGCGTGGTCGAACCAACCGATTATCGCTCTATCTGCTCGAACTTCGTCGTTCAAAAGGGCGGACGTCGCCGATGAAGCGGAGGTGGTGTACTTTTGTCGCCAGCCGACCTCCACTTCCTTGTCCTCCCACTCCAGCTGACGCGTGACGTTTTCGAAAACGGCGCCGAAAAGTTTGGGCCAGATGTTGTTGCCGAAACCCTTTCTTTACGTCTATGATGACCTCTTTAGTGAAATTTTAAACATAAATTGCTGTGGAGATGTAGAGGATCCCAATGAGCTGCGTGGGGACCTGCGTTCGGGCATCGCGTTTGGGAAAAGCTTGGGAGTGGACGCAACTCTCTCAATTCTTTATCTGAAACTTGAAAATATTCTGCTCTTCTTCTGCTTCTTCTCCCTACTTAATCCTCCCTCCAAGGTGCGGTAAAGGAATTTGGAGCACTCGAAGAATTTGCTCAACGAGTACTTGACCCTGATGGCGTACGCTGATTTGGCTGTTCATCGTCCCTACACTAGTTACATCCCATAGCACCGAAAATTTACTTCAGCTTCTAAAGGTCCTCCTTTCATGACTGATCTTTTACCAGTTAACCACTCTGAAGAACCTTGTTATCTTTTGTTTGTTAATCACTTAAGGATGTCCTTATTTAACAGCAAAGAGTCTCTTCAGACCCGCTCGAGAAATGGAGACCTTCAGTCCGAACAAGCATTGCCCGTTTGGGATGGCACTCCCTCAGTTTTCCCCAGTATATGGAGAGGAGCTGGGCAGCATCCGGCTCCAGGAGACCTACGCGTGACTGTGGTGACAGAAGGACTACAGAAGCGACATTGCATAGCGACAGATGCGAGATCCGCTCATATCAGCCAAGCCTTCCATCTTTACGGGTTGGTCGTTTGATATTTCTACCCTGGAGAATAGCTATAAAAAACTTCAGCTGCCATTCAAGTCACTGAAGCCTAGGCCAAACCAAAAGTATCTACGACTGTAAACGGATGGCCAAAAGGAGGCGCATCGTAAAAAGCTCGAGCATCGGGTATGTACCTGTCATTTGATGGAATTTAGTCAGTATGAAAACCCTGTGCCTTTCAGGACTAGAATCTTGGTGGCACAAAAATACTGGCTTTGGGTTGGGACTTCTTGCTAAAGGCGTGGGAGCGAAATTCGCACCTGTTTTTTGCTTTGAATCCGAGATAAGGTGCTTGTGATGCTTGAACACAGCTTCTTTCTAATGATATAGCTGTCACATGTCTCCAATCCCATAAACAGGTAATCAAAAGGAAATAAAAATTTCAACACAGTGCTTGAATTCTAGGGTACCCGACAGGAGGCCCGTCGCGTGGCGAGAAGGCAGAGACGTCAGCGGACGAGTCGCAGCGCGTGCTGTGCGATGTGGGACGTACTATAGTACATTCTATTAACTTGACGCGAAATCACTACAGTACGCGCTGCGACTCGTCCGCTGACCCCTGCGTCTCTGCCTTCTCGCCGCGCGACGGGCCTCCTGTCGGGTACTTTGAATTCCTATAATTAACTGCAACAAACCACTAAATTTATTATCTTTATTTGAAAAAAATCGCACCTAAGCTATCATATGATATGTACAATTCTTGTCTATGAAATGGCCACTGCGAGGTGAAATTCGTGGGAGGCGCTGATGACCGAATGAAACGCTGTTACTAACGAGTCGCATATGCACAGGGTAGTGGGGTGAGCAGTAATGGAATGGTAGAGCTGGTTGCGCTTCGTGAGTCGACTGCTTCGCAAACGCACGCGGTCTTGCTATGTATTTCGAACGCGACTCGTCAGCAACAGCCTATTTTTTACCACGTTTAAATTAAATTTAACATAGAAAACGTTGGAATTGTTGGCGTCAAGAGCTGAGAGCAGTCTTAAATAAAAGGGTAGAACATCAAAGCCATTATGGCTACCTGTAAATCAAAAAGTAACATCGGATAGTTGCAACATTCTGAACAACGAATAAATACGCATTAATTATTACATATTAAACTTAGCAGCTGTTCAAGGAAAACGTGGTAAAAGCCTTTAAAACTGTCGTTAACCGCACAAATTTTTCGACAAATCATTTCAAAAGAAGGAAATATGAAATCAATTGATTAATTTGCTAGGCTTAATAAGCTAGCTCTGCTATTCCATACTCGCCAGTCACCATCCACTTTTGGTCGGGCTCATTCTCCATGCGCGAAGCTACGTCGTCCGGAAGACCGGCTACCGTTTCCGATTTCAACGTCCTTAGCGCGAGTATCGGCGCCGGCAAAAAACCGCACAGTGCTGTCTAAAACACGCTTTTTTAGCTACCAGAAATCCATGCCGGCCATCTCAGGTGTACGTGGATAGAATAACAACCCAAAGAAATTAAACCAAGACTCCACCAAAAAGAAAAGTCACCTCACGAGTTACAGCGAAAGCCTCGAAAGCGGTCCTCAGCAAGGTTACCATTTGCGGTGGCCAAATTTTCGAGATCAATAACCTCTTTTTCCACACTCAGTCGGGTTCTCGATATGACCCTATCTCGTTTTGTAATAGATCCTAGCCCTAGTGAAAGCCTCGGCAATCCTACCTCAAACCTATCCTACTTCCTACTCTTTTACCTCCCATTTCAAAAAGAGGTGAACTTGTCACTCATACCTAGGACCCTTCCGAAAACCTCAAATAAAACCCCTCTTTCGTACTTTCCCAACGAAAGGTTGATCCTAGTGCCCAGAAGATTTCAAAACTGATCATTGTATTATTCACCTTCAATGGAGTACCGTATGGCCAATCTCTATCGCCGACCAATTTTCGATAGTTAAGATCTCCTTTGAACATGATCAGAGACGCTTCTGTCAACTGTGTGTATAACTCGCGAGCCACGGATTTCATCTGGCAGTAGGGATGAGGATATGTCCAAAATCGATGGTCGTGGAAGGCCAGCTGACCCTAAACCACCAACATGATCAAAAATAGGCAAAAAATGTCATTACTAACTCGCCTTCTTCAGCCT